ATCGTATCCCCTCAGAGTTTGTTCAAGTCCACAAACCTCTGTCTGTGACGGAGCCCCTCAGACATGGCTACTCTAGTCACTAGCAGATTCCGACAGTGGTTGCTTTCGTAATCGCTTCCAACATAAAAGCTCCTTAACGGAAACACGTCTTCTGGAATCTCTGCGTGACAGTTTCCGGCGAGGAGTGGGTGTTCTTACAGGAGGTCCTGAAACTTCCCCACTGTTTTCGCTGGAAGTGTCTCTGAGCCATCCCTCCAGCTCAGCTCCTCTCCCCCTGCTGGTTCCCTCTTCAGCTGCTGCGTCTCTCCCAACCTGTGTGAGCCCTTTCACCTCCCTGTTGGTTCCCTCTTCAGCTGCTGCGTCTCTCCCAACCTGTGTGAGCCCTTTCACCTCCCTTCCGTCCGATGGCAGTTCCCTGACATCCACCTCCCCCTCCAGGGCCCCCTTCACCCCCTCTCGCCCCCTCCTCTACGGGCGGTGAGGAGGCAAAACCCGGAATGAACTTCCTTCATCTTCCGATGTCTCGAACACTTCTCTCAACCTGTTGCGGTTCCTGGTCTCGAAGTACACCTCCTCCTCAGAGTCCATCTCCCCTTCCCCTTCCGAGTCCGGGAATCCTTCCAACTCCTCCCCTTCATCAGTGGTCCCAAAGTATTCCCTCCGGAACCTCTCCACAGGCTGAGGTTTCCTTGGGAACCTTTGATGGAACGTTTCTATCAATACCTCGTCATTGATATCTTCAGCCATTACCCAAGTGTTTTCTGACTCCGGTTCTCCTTCCCACGCTACCAAATACTCCACCTGATCCCCCTTCCACCTGGCGTCGAGGATTTCTGCCACATGGCTGCTGCATTCTCTTTCTTCTACGACCGGGCCCCGAGGGGCCAGCCCTTCTCGTCCCCCTTCGTACGGTGACAGTAACGACCTGTGAAATACTGGGTGCAGTTTCATGTGGTTGGGTAACCGGAGCCTGAAAGCCACTGGGTTGACCTGTTGAATGACCTCAAAGGGACCCAACCTCCTGGGTCTTAATTTCTTACAACCTCCTTTGAGCGGCAACCCTTGGGTTGACAGCCACACCCTATCTCCCACCCTTATGGTTTCACCTTCCCTTCGGTTCTTGTCTGCCTGCCTCTTGTATTCTTCCTTCGCCCTTTCTAAGTTGAGTTGGAGCTGACGATGGATTGCTTCCATTTCTTCCACAAAATGCTCGGCTGCCGGGACGCTCCATCTCTCCCCCTCTCCCCCTGGGAAAGCCCTGGGATGACACCCATAATTAGCCAAGAAGGGGCTCATCCCTGTGGACACATTCTCGGCATTGTTGTAGGCAAATTCCGCCAGCGCCAACTTTTCTACCCAGTCATTCTCTCTGTCATTGACATAACACCTCAGGTATTGCTGGAGGACACCGTTTGCTCTTTCCGCCTGCCCGTTGGTTTCAGGGTGCCGGGCAGTCGAAAAATTGACCTCCACCTGCAGTAAGCTCATGAGCTTCCTCCAGAACCTGGAAGTAAATTGTTTTCCTCGGTCTGAGACCACCCTCAATGGCACCCCGTGCAACCTAAAAATGTTTTCTACAAATAACTTCGCTGTCTCTTCCGCCGTGACTGCATGCGAGCAAGCTACAAAGTGGCACATCTTTGTTAGTAGGTCTACCACCACCATGATGGCTGTTTTCCCTTTGGACTTCGGCAGATCAGTCATAAAATCTATCGACACTGCCTCCCAAGGTCGTTCTGGGGTTGGTAAGGGTTCTAATAGCCCCGCCGGCGCCCGCCTTTCCCCTTTGGCTCGCTGGCATTGCTCGCACCCTCTTACATACTCACGTACATCTTCCCTCACCTTAGGCCACCAAAATTCCCTGGTGACCAACCACATGGTTTTGTGTTGTCCAAAATGCCCCGCCGTAGGGCTGTCGTGCAACTGCTTGAGTACCCTCCCCCTTAACTCTCCTTCAGGGATATACAGTGCCCCTTTGTAATACAAAGCTCCATTTCTTTCCTCAAAACCCCCTGGTTCCTCTCCATCACCCCTAAGACCTCTGAGCTTATTCTGGGCGTATTCATCATTCTCTGTTTCCTCTACCAGTTCTCTTTGTCCCACCAATGCCGCCCCACACACCCAGCGGTCTTCTGGAATGACATGTCTCTCTTCGGGTTCTCACTCCCCCTCCCAATATTAAGGTTTGCGTGAGAGAGCGTCCGCCCTAATGTTCTCTGGGCCTGGCACGTAACTAATCTCAAAGTTAAATTTGGAGAACTCCTGGGCCCATCTCACTTGCCGTTGGTTGAGCACTCGTGCCGTCCTCCAATACTCTAGGTTCTTGTGGTCAGTGCACACTTGCACCTTATGTTGTGCGCCAATTAGCAGGTGCCTCCATCTCCGGAACGCCTCATGAATGGCTAGTAGTTCTCGGTCATACACCGTGTAGTTCCTCTCGGATTTGTTCAGCTTTCGCGAAAAAAGGCACACGGTCTCCACTCTGACCCCTTCTTGCCTGGCTGCAGAAGCACCGCCCCAATCGCTCTGTCTGATGCGTCAGTTTCCACTCTCATCGGTTTTTGTAAATCCACATGCAGGAGTTGTTGTTCCGAGGCGAAGGCCCTTTTTAGTTCCTCAAATGCTCGCTCCGCCTCCTCAGTCCACACGAACTTCTTCTTACTGCTGAGACAGTCCGTAATGGGCGCCGTCAGGTGGGCAAAGTTTCGGATGAACTTACGATAGAAGTTCCCAAATCCTAGGAACCTCTGCACATCCTTCTTTGTTTTGGGTGTTTTCCATTCCAGCACCGCCTGGACCTTGCCGGGATCCATGGCCAATCCTTTGTCTGACAGGCGATACCCCAGGAATTCCACCTCCTTGGTATGAAACTGACACTTCTCCAGTTTCACCCACAGCTGGTTGGCTTGCAGCCTGCTCAACACTTCTCTGACGTCTCTCACATGCTGCTCCTCATTCTCAGAATACACCAACACGTCGTCTAAAAGGCCACACAATTCTTGTAAAGCAAAGGCCCCAGGACGTGGTTCATAAACGATTGAAATGTTGCGGAGCCTGCTTGTAGGCCGAAGGGCATAACCAAATATTCAAATGCCCCTAAAGGGGTGAACATAGTGGTTTTCCATTCATCCCCCTTCCTTATTCGTACCAGGTTGTACGCCCCCCTTAGGTCCAGCTTTGTGAAAATCTTTCCCTTCCGCACCCTTGTCAAAATGTCGTCAATCCTGGGCATAGGGAAGGCTACTGGTTCTGACACTGCATTTAAGGCCCTGAAGTCACACACCAGCCTCGGCTTGTTCGTGTTTTCTTATCCACAAAAAACACTGGGCTGCCCCCACCGCCCTGGACTCTCTGATGAACCCTCTCTTCAGGTTCTTGTCAATGAACTCTCTTAACTCCTGCATCTCTCTGTCTGACATGGCGTACAGCTTGCCTACAGGGAGCTGTGCTCCAGGGAGTAAGTTGATTTGACAGTCAAAGGGTCTATGCGGGGGTAGTTGGTCAGCTTCCCTTTCGCTGAAGACGTCACGGAGATCTGCATATTGTCGTGGTACCTTCACGTTCTCTGTTACTTCAGTCCCTGCTAGGGTGGCTTGGACCCCTGCCAAACCCTTTCCCTCTTTGCAGTGTTCTAAGCAATGTGCTGAACCAAAGAAACCACTCTCTGATGCCAGCCCACCAGCGGATCATGTAACGCTAGCCAGCTCATCCCCAATATAATGGGAGCTCCTCCCAAGGTGGCCACATTAAAAGCTATCAGTTCGGTGTGCCTTGCTACCTTCATTATCATTGGGACGGTCTGCAAGCTGACTTCTCCACCCAACAGCTCCCTGCCATCGATAGTGGTCACCTGCAGGGGGCTGCTTAAGGGATTGTCTGTATCTGGTGTTCAGCTGCAAACTCTTTGCTCATGAAATTGCAGGAGCTGCCTGAGTCCAACAGCGCCTTTATCTTTAGAGGGTGTCCGTTTGGCAGCTCTAGCGTCACTTCTATCACTAGGGCGGGTTTAGGAGGTTCTGGCGTGGGCACTCTCACTGCTCTTTGGCCTGGCT